TGTTTCGATGCGAAAGCTTAAGTAGAGCGATGATGCAAATGGGTTAATTAATCACTGATAATCCGAAACACTTGTGGATATTACGAAAATGACTGAGACGCATTCGCGGATGATCGTATACACGACGCGTTCGCGGATAATCGTTTATTCGACGCGTTCGTTCGGAAGTCGATGTTTCACTGCCTAAAAATCCAGGCCTCGACCGTGGACCCTTATCGTTCGTCGTTCGGTCATCCGAGGAAATGACACATCCGATACCATTTTCTTCGAAGTGCAGGGTACCGCCATATGAAATAAACAAGATATGCCGAGAAGTAAACTGCGGCCGACCGCATCAGTAAATGAATAAAAAAAATTGTTGAAAATTGAAATCTGATGTATTTTGATTTTATTATAAATTTTAATGAAATTATTAGTTTTATCAGGAAATTAATAGAGTTAAATATTTTATGGATAATTATAAGATGGATTAGAAAATGTGATGTATTAACTGAAATTTATTGGGTTTGTTAGTTAAAGGTATTTATTTATGATTAATAATAAATTTCATTTAATTTAATGAAACTATAACGATATTAGGTAAGTAAAGATAGTTAATTAGATTATAATTAGTTATAATGAATTAGTAAATTGAGAAATTAAGTTTAAAATTAAATTATTTAATTGAATTAGCATTAAATTTAAAAATATCCAATAGAAAGTTAGGGGTAATTTCATTAGATAGAACAGATACTTAGGCCAAACGTAAACATAACAAGCCGAGCTCGGGGACTGATTTTTTGCCCGTTACGCTCGTGAATGAATGTTAGTTCCTCTCAGTACCTCAGAACAGTTAGTCACGATTCTTATCGTTGCTGTTACGAAGCAGTTCAATTATTAAAAGTTAAGAAACCCCTTCAAAATGCAAGGTACAAAAGTGTTTAGTGAAGGCCGTGATAACGAATCTTCTGATAGTGACGTGTTGATGCCAGTTGCAAAGCGAATAAGGCATATGATTATAGATGATAGTAGTGAAGAGGAAGGTACGACAGAACAACCATGGATTTGGCGAAAAGTAGAAAACACACCAATAGTTTGGAAGTATTCTGAACATCGTGGAATAAAGACGTCTGTCTTAAATAATTTAAGCGACAATCCAACAATACTAGACCTAGTCTTTATTACATTTGATAAGAAGTTTTGGGAAAGCCTGTTTACGGAAACAAATCGCTTCGCAGATCAAACAATACACGACGAGCGATAAAAACGATGTGTAGACAACACTTGGTATCCTGTCACTTTAGACGAAATCAAGGCCTATTTTGCACTATGTATTTTGATGGGTCAAGTAAAAAAATCAAGTATTCAATTTTACTGGACTAAAAGAGCTGTATTAGGAACGCCAATATTTAGAGAAACAATGCCATTTAAGATATTTCGTCAAATTTCGAGATTTTTACATTTCTCCGATAATGAAACTGATGATAGTAAAGACCGACTTCGCAAGATAAGACCGGTCATTGATTTTTGGAATCAAAAATTTAAAGAAATTTACACACCCAATGAATATGTTAGCATAGATGAATCCTTGATGAAATATAAAGGGCGTTTAGGGTACAAGCAATTCAATCCGTCAAAAAGAGCTCGGTTTGGAATAAAAATTAACAAATTGTGCGAGGCAACTACCGGTTTCTGCCATGAATTTAAAATATATACCGGCCAGGACAGAACTAATCGACACGAGAGTGCGTCGGAGAATGTTGTTATCGAGTTGTCAAAATCTATAATAAATAAAGGGTACACTTTATTCCTGGATAACTGGTACTCTTCGCCCAACCTGTTTCTAAAATTACACCGTCAAAAGACAAACGTTATCGGGACGGTACGAAAGAACAGAAAAAATATGCCACAAGACATGCAAAAACATATTTTGAAGAAAGGAGAATTCGTGTGGAGATGTTGCAATAATTTGATAGCTTTGCGATGGAAGGACAAGCGCGACGTTTATATGCTCTCCACAAAACACAAAACAGTAGAGATGGTCGAGCAATCAAACAAACAGTTACAGAAAGTAATGAAGCCGAAATGTATCATAGAATATAATAAGGGTATGGGTGCAGTTGACCATCAAGATCAAATGTTAGCCTGTTTCCCAATAATGAGAAAAGTCATGAAAGGATAAAAAGGAAAACTTTTCTTTTACATATCAGATATGGCTCTGTTCAATACCTAT